CGCCGTTGTGCGCGACCATGTCGTCCAGCGGCGACGTTGGCATAACCTTCCCGAAGGCGGCGGCGAACGCGTCGCCTGCGAACACCGTCATAACAGGACCGGACAGGAAGTCTGCGCGCCTGCTCCGGCAGCCGGAGCGGCCCCCTAAGGGGCAGACCGTGCGCGCGCGATCCGGAAAAACATATCGGCGAGACAGGCAACGGGGAAAACTCGCGGATTACTCGCAACTCGTCCGAGCAGCGGCTCTCGAGGCAGACCACCCTCGGTAGCCGATATCGCGAAACCTGGAGCTTGGCGGGCCACAACGGAATCCGTGCTGCTTGGACGCGTCAGACAAGTGATTATGGAGGATCTGCTCGAAAGCCTTCCACAGGTCCACAAGGATCGAGGCCGACGCCCACTCTCTACTGTCGTGCACCGCATCAATCATGTGGACGCCACGGGGGCCTCCGGTGGAGCTCCCTCTGGGGCCACGAAGCGCTGTACTGGGTGGCGCGGACGCATGTGGCCACAGCCACTGGGGCATTCGGTGGAACTCCTCGTGGGGCCACGAAACAATTTAGTGGGTAACGCGGACGCATGTGGTCACAACCACGGGGGCCTCTGGTGGAGCTCCTGTACTGGGTGGCGCGGACGCACATGTGGTCACAGCCACTGGGGCCTTCGGTGGAGATCCCCAAGGGGCCGCGAAACAATTTATTGGGTGGCGTCGACGCAGGTGGTCACAGCCACTGGAGCCTTCGGTGGAGCTCCCTGTGGGGCCACGAGCGCTGTACTCGGTGGCGCGGACACATGTGGTCACAGCCACTGGGGCCTTCGGCAAAGCTGCGCAAAGCTGTACGGGGTGGCGCCGACGCGTGTTGTCACAGCCAATGGGGCCGTCGGTGGAGTTCCCTGCGGGGCCACGATGCGCAGTACGGGGTGTCGCGGACACGTGTGTTCACAGCCACTGTGGCCTCTGGTGGAGCTCCCTATGGGGCCACGAAGCGCAGTGCGGGGTGGCGTGGACGCAGGTGGCCACAGCCACTGGGGCCTCGGAGTTCCTTGTGGGGCCAGGAAACGTTGTACTGGGTGGCGCGGACGCATGCGGTCATAACCGGTGGTGCTTTCGGTGGGTTTCCCTATGGGGACAGGAAGCGCTGTACTGGGTGCTCTGTAATGTGGCCATGCGGGTGGCAGAGGCATGGATGGGAGGAGGGGGAGAAGGAAGAGGACAAAAAGGAAAAGTAACGCGGGGCGCTGTGTTATCAAAGCGAAGACCCAACACCACAGGATGACTTGGGAAAAACCTATCGCATGTCAGTGGCAAGAACCCCCCAGAACTCCCAAAATGTTCCGAAGACGCTCTTCCAGAAACGACGACGACGGCGACACCGGCGGCGGCACCGGCGGCGGCGGCAGCGGCGACGACGACAACGACGACAACGACGACGACGACAATGACCGCAACGGCAGAGGCGGCGGCAAGGCGGCGGCAAGGCGGCGGCAAGGCGGTGACGACGACGACGACGACGACGACGACGACGACGACGACGACGACGACGACGACGACCGCGGCGGCGGCGGCGGCGGCGGCGGACACGACGGCGGCGACCTGCCGGCCGGCGGCCCCGCGGCGGCACGCCGGTGCGCCGCCGGGTGTCCACGGCCACTGCCGCGGAGTCGCGCCCGGGGATCTCGAGGAGTTCGGGAGATCGCGGATGTCTTTGGGTACCCAAGAGAATAGGGGGTAAACAAACCTACCTCGCTTTTGACCACCCTCGCTTCCAAGAGATACCAAGCGATGCCAAACTACGGCCTGTACTGATCAGGCCGCTTGACGAGGAGGCGCGTGGTACGATTTGGATTTGCCTGGAAGCGAAAGCGGGGTAGGTAATTCACGCTCTGAGAGAAGGTGGTGCAATAGATTCGGGGCAATTGTATTGCAAATGTATTGCGCCGGGGAGTTGTATTGCACTGCCTTGCAAGTGATGTGTTGCACGCGGAAATCCAGCAACACATCTGCGCCCCAGAATGTATTTTGCGCGCCCCAGATGCATGGCAACCCCACAAATCTATTGCACCAAACCTATTGCACCACCACCCCTTGTCGCTGGACCCCCTTTTGGGTCAACCCGAATTTCGGGGGATCGAGGATGGGACGCACAAGGATATACTAATACTATATATCCTCCGTGGAGGCGCGCGTCCGACCCGAACGTACAGTGTACCCATCTTGTAGTAATCGTTTCCCGAGCGGGGTGGCCAGAAAGCGCCCGTCACGACGCATATACTATAAGATTTCTCGGTGCGCGCGCCGCCCCTGAGGGGGCGACGCACATATAGCAAAAGTATGTTGGGTTGACGCCGAGAGGAGTTCGGGGGATCGCAGCTTGTTGGTGGCCGCGGGGGGACCAAACACAGGCGCGCAAGACGCTACTGCCGCCTCGCGTTCGGCGATCGCGGGGCCCCGTTGGGGCCCGCACCAGAGGTCACTCCAGCGAAAGGCCACTCTTACGAGCAGCTGATCTGAACCGAAGGGGAGAGGCCGCTGGGATCTACTGACCCAGTCGGGCTTCGCAGGATCCTGCAGGATCCTGCACCCGGGCCCCGGGTCAGTGCGCCCCTGGCTCTCTGCAGGATCCTGCAAGCTCAGGCGCTCCGACTGACCCCCGTGTGCACTGGCCCGCGTCTCTTGAGCCCCGAGGGGAGACAAGGTGCAGACACCGCCACCCTTGCCATGCCTGCGGCCCTCTCTGCGCCTCCTGGGAGGCCCCGCGTCGCCACCGCTGGATCCGCCTCGAGGTCCTGGGCAGAACGCCCCCTGGGAGAGGTCCCCGGAGCAGGCCCTGGGATCTCGAAGGGTGGGAGGCATGCAGAACTGCACGAGCATAAGCTTTTGGTGGAGCTGCGCGAGGAGTTCTCGGGCCGAGGCCTCTAACCCGATGTGTTTTACGTACGCTCCTGTAGACTGGGCCTCACCTGGAGCACGAACACTTGACGTTATACGTATGTCTCTATAGATTGTCCTTCTCCAATGTGCACAATCCTGATTGTTTTACCTATGTTCCTATATCTTGGGCCTCTCTCTCGTGCTCGAGTCCTTGATGTTTTACGCGTGGCGCTGCCATCGACGCCGGAGGCGCGCGCCCGGAAGGGGGTTCAGCGCAGATCCACGAACCCCGCGCGGAGCTGCGAAAGGTTGTGCCGATGCCACGCTTCCGCCCCTCGGAGAGCACCGAATCGGCCACTTGCTGGTCGGAACATCTCCTCCTCCTCCTCCTCCTCCTCCTCCTCCTCCTCCTCCTCCTCCTCCTCCTCCTCCTCCTCCTCCTCCTCCTCCTCCTCCTCCTCCTCCTCCTCCTCCTCCTCCTCCTCCTCCCCCCTGTCCCCCTCGAGGGGGGGCCTTCCTTCCCCCCCCCTCCCCTCGAGAGGGGGCCCAGAGCTCCTCCCCTCGGGAGAGGAGGCCTCTGGAGGACCGGTCGGAGAGCCAGGGTGGTGAAGATGGGCATCTGTGAAGGGGAATTGGGACACACAAATAAATACACACAAATAAAAATATCCCCCATATTTTCCTATATTTTCTGGGTTTTTGTCTTCCCCCCCACTTCCCATATTTTCCCATATTTTCTGGGAATCGCCGATTAATTGTGTCTGTGTGTTTTTTCCCCTTCTGAATCTGCCCGCCCGAGTGGGCTGGCAGATGTACAGGTCCACACCTCCCCGAGTGCCCGAACACGCGACTCCTTCGGTGGTAGCTCCTGGGAGCCTCCCATACCATCTTGTCGGCTCCTGCGAATCGACGCCGATCAACGCTAAATCGACGCTGATCAACGCTAAATCCACGCTAGCCGACGCTAAATCGGCGCTACCTCGTCGACTCCCAGAAGCTAATCGACGCCCATCGACGCTGAAGACGGAAGTAGGAGGGTATACCAGGCTCCCATGATTTGCTACCGAAGACTCCGAAGCGGTGGATACTGGAGGGAGATCAAAAAGGCATAAACATTAACTGGTGGACTTCCGCGCGGATTTCTTGGATCTGCGCTGGGACCCCCCTGCCTGGCGCGCGGAGCCAGGGGCGGCGCAGGAGGCGCCGCCAGGGGGGCCCAGGCGCGGATCCAAGAACTCCGCGCGGAGCTCCAAAAGTTTATGGTTAGGTCGGGCATGTCACCCTGCAGGCGGATTTTGGACGGAAAAATCCACTGATATTCAAAAATGGTCAAAAAATATGTTCGACTATTTTCTAATATTCCTCCTGTAGATGGACAGGCCCGACTTAAATTTATGTTATGCCGTTCTTCTTCGAATTCTGGCGGTGGAGCCTAGGGCCCGGCGCTTCCCCTTGCTGACCTCCCGCTCGATCTCCGTCTTCGAGACGCTAAAACCGACGCCGAAGACGGGGTTACGAGGGCAGACCAGGATCCCATGATTCTCTGCCGAGGACTCCAAAGCGGTGGAAATTGGAGGAAGAAAAAAAGGCACCAACATAATCTGGTGGCGCTCCGCACGGATTTCTTAAACCTGCGCCTGGGACACCCCTCCCTGGCGCGCAGAGCGCGCCTGGTGCGGCGCCGGAGGCGCCGCCAGGGGGGCCGGGCGCCGATCCAAGAAACCCGCGCGGAGCGCCATAAGTTTATGCTCAGTGCGTTCTTTATTCCCTCTTCGATCTCTGGCGGTGGAGCCGAGGGCCCGGGCGCTTCTCCTGAATATGGATATGGACACCTGCCCGCCCGGGTGGGCGGGCAGGTATGCGCATCCGCCGCTCCCCGAGCCCCAAAGCACACGACGCCGAAGCGGCGGATACAGTAGGGGCCCGACCGCAAGAAACCTTCCACAAGAAAGCCAACCCTGAGACCCTAGGACGTCCACTGATTCTTGGTGTGGGAACGTCACGCCTTCCATCTCGACACCACCGAAGCCCAAGAGATCCAGGGCACCCTGGAGGCGAGCAGGGTGTTTCTTGGCAGGGGCCTCCACTGCATGGACACACACTCTGGCGCTGGAGCCGAGGGCATGGCGCTTCTCTCTGCTGACCTCCCGCTCGCTCTCCGTCTTCGAGAGGCGCGTCGTCCGTCTGCTGCCTTCGCCGGGGGGTCGGGCGCGGCGCGGCGCCAGCGCCGCCGCAGGCCGCCGCCTCCGCCGCCCGCTGCAGAAGCGCCGCGGCGGAGAGGCAGCAGCGGCCGGCAGCGCGTCGGGCCGGACCGGATCGGAGCGTGAGGTGGCCCCCGAACTCGCGAGGCCGTAGGATACGGAGTCTGAAACTTAAGGGTTCCCCACATCCTGGCCGGAGGTCCGGTGTTCTCGGGACACCCCGCGCAGGAGCACCCACTCCCCCTCGCATCCTCATCACCTTTTCACATTCGGGTCACGGCGTGTGAGCTGCTCCCCCCTCCCCAAACCCCTCCCCCGGAAGCCCGGTACGGCCCGTTTGGAGGGGTGGAGGAGGGCATGGGGGCAAAGGTGTCATCAGGCCCCACGAGGACCCAGAGGGCTCTCAGCAGCCCCCACGACGGCCCAAGAGGCCCCCGAGACGCCCAAAGGTCGGCCCAAGACGCCCAGGATGGCCCAAAGACGGCTCAGCAGCCCCCACGACGGCCCAAGAGGCCCCCGAGACGCCCAAAGGTCGGCCCAAGACGCCCAGGATGGCCCAAAGACGGCCCCAGAAGCCTCCCAGACGGCTCAGGAAGCCTCCAAAAGCATTCCAAAGAGGGGCCCCAGAGGCCAAAATCGTCGAATCCCTATGGGCAAACGCACATTTCTATCATACACGACTTTTCGGCCTTCGCGGCGTTGAAGACGGCCCCAAAGTCCCCCAAGACCGCACCCAACGGCCCAAGAGGCTCCCAAGAGGCGCTCGAAAAGGCCCAAGAGGGCGTCAAGACAGCCCAAGAGGCTCCCAAGACGGCCCAAGAGTGCCCCAAGACGGCCCAAAGAGGGGCCCAAGAGGGGGAGCCTGAACCAACAATCCGAGCCCCCCGCCCCCAAACGGCCTCAGGGGGGGCCCAAGAGGCGCCCAACAGGGCCCATGAGGCCCCCAAGAGGCCCCCCAAGAGGCCCCCAAGTCTTGGGGCCCAAGAGGCCCCCCAAGAGGCCCTCCAAGAGACCCCCAAGAGGCCCCCAAGAAGCTCAAAAAAAGAGGTTGCTCACTCTTCGAGCTGAGGCGTGGACGAATGCCAAAGTCGGGGATGGACAGACCCCCCTTTAGCAAAACGTGGTTTAGTGAAAACGACCTGAGGCCCAACCTTGGCGGGCACAAGGATGGAAAATAACGGCCACGGCGCCCTCTCGAGAACCGAAAACGGACAATCCACTAATCGACGTGCCACTGTTGGGGGTTCTGTCCACCCCCGAACTCTTCGAGCTGAGGCGTGGAGGAATGCCAAAGGCTGCCTGGCAGGGCGTCTCGACGTCCAGAAAAGGAGCCCCCCCTCCCTCTGCCCGCGGACCGCTGCGTGCCTCGCCCCTGCTCTCTCTTGCCGGGCATGTCCCCCCCTACGGGTGGATGGAAGGGGCCCCAGGACACACTAATAAATACACACAAATAGAAAGATTCCCCATATCTTCCTATACGTTCTGGGTTTTTGTCTTCCCCGCCGCTTCCCATCTTTTCCCATATTTTCCGGGGCACCGACGATGAATTGTGTCTGTGTGTGTGTGTTTGTTCCCCTCCTGATGGATACTGGGCGGAAAAAAAATGTGTATGTGGTCTTCTCTGCTCCGACGGCAGGAGCCCCCAGGGGAGCACCGCGGCGGAGAGGCAGACGTTGGGGCCGGGGCAGCGGGAGGCGCCGGGGCCGCCGCCGCTGCGGTGCCGCCCGCCCCCCTCCACGAGGCAGGGCGGCCGCGGGGGCCACCTCGGCCGCTGGGGCCTGGGAGCCGCGCCGAGGCAGAGCTCCCCCACCCCAGAGATCCGACGTCGTGAGTTCTTCCATACGGTAAAACACAGCTAGGATCGGGATAAATCGCTCCAGAGCGTTCCGGAGCGGCGCCCAATACATCCTCCAAACCCGCCGATTCTCAGAGATTTCGAGTTATCCCGATCCAATTTTGTCCCGATCTTCGCGTCGTCCTATACGGGGTCCCCGGAAGTCTCGACCCATTCCCCAGGACCGGTTTTGCATCCTGAGTCGTTTTTGTCGAAGGCCCCGAGGCCCGGCTAAGGGCCCCCGAAGCCGAGAAGAGCGAATAGACCCTCGTCGTGTTTTTTTCCATACGTTCGATCTCTGGGACCCCCCCCCGCCTCGGGGGGTGGGGTCCCCGCTGGTGGGGTCCCCGCTGGGGCCGCCCAGCCCCCCGCGCCCTCTCGCTCGCTTCCCGCCGCCTCTTGCGCTCTCCCGCCCTCCTCCGCAGCACGCCCAGCCACCACCCCGCACCGTCCACTTGCCATCGCTCCAACGTCCCTTCCCCGTGCGCCTCTTGCTTCGTGCGCGTCTCCTCCTCCTCCTTCCTCCTCCTCCTCCTCCTCCTCCTCCTCCTCCTCCTCCTCCTCCTCCGCCTCCTCCGCCTCCTCCGTCTTCTCCTCTCAAGTCCTCCGCATTCCTCGGGAGGGGAGGGGACGGAACGGGGGGAGGGAATGGAGGGAGGACCGTCCTCGCCGAAAAAAGAAATGCACACGTCCGAGCGATGCCAAGTCCACAGCGAAGCCACGTGTTCCCACCCGACACCACATCCGCCGCTGCGACCGCCACGCCGCACCCGGGAGCACCGCACCCTCCCTCCTGCGGGCACGATGTATATCCATATCCACTGCGTCTAGGCTTTCCCGGGGAGGGGCGCCAACAGGCCGCGGCGCAGTGGAAACCTATATATATACATATATATATATATATATATATATATATAGCGAGGTATGTATATATGTATAGCTTGTATGTGAGTGTGTGTGTGTATGTGTTACCTCTAGGGGCGAACTTGCTTTAGCCATATCCACGGCGCCTCAAAAGAGGCGCTCTGTATCGGAGGAAGGGAGCCCCAAAACTCCAAGACGCCGTGGCTGCGGGCGGAGACCCTGTCCGCGCCTCCCCCCTCAAAAAACAAGCCTCGGACCTCGGGCGGGGCATATGCGCTGGGAGGCGGGCCCCGCTGCCCCCGGGGGAGGCGAGGCGAGCCGAGGCGGGCCGCGGCTGCCCCCCCCCCCCCACCACCGGGGGGCGGGGGGCCCATGCTCGGGCCACCTCGGCGCCCACACAGCGTACATCCTCCTCCTCCTCCTCCTCCTCCTCCTCCTCCTCCTCCTCCTCCTCATCATCATCATCATCAATCATCATCATCATCATCATCATCATCATCATCATCATCATCATCATCATCATCATCATCATCATCATCATCATCATCATCATCATCATTATTAGAAGCATCATCCTCCTCATCATCATCATCCTGATCCTCATCCTCATCATCAGCATCATCATCAGCAGCATCAGCATCAGCATCAGCATCAGCATCATCATCATCATCATCATCATCATCATCATCAGCATCATCATCATCATCATCAGCATCAGCATCATCAGCATCATCATCATCATCATCATCAGCAGCAGCATCAGCATCATCATCACAATCATCTATCACCACCACTATCGTCGTCATCATTACCATCGTCATTATCATCATCATCAGCATCATCAGCATCATCACCATCACCATCAGCAACATCAGCAACAACATCACCAGCGCCATCATCATCAGCAGCAGCATCATCAGCATCATCATCATCAGCAACAGCATCACCATCATCATCACCAGCAGCATCAGCATCAGCATCAGCATCAGCATCATCATCATCGTCATCATCGTCATCATCATCCTCATCCTCATCCTCATCCTCATCGTCATCATCATCATTAGCATCAACATCAACATCAGCATCAGCATCATCATCATCAGCATCATCATCACAATCAGAATCATAATCATCATCAGCATCAATAGCAGCATCAGCATCAGCATCAGCATCAGCGTCATCATCACCATCACCATCAACATAATCATCAGCAGCATCATCATGTGAAGCATCAGTCGTTCCCCTCTTCTCTCTCTCTCTCTGCCTCTTGGTTTTTGTTCGCCCTCCGCCCGCAAGTCGCGAGGGGGGGAGCCTCAAGGGCATCGACGCTTCGACGCAAACGTCCGCATCACCGAGTCACCGAGGAGGACTCTCCACCCGACGACATCCTCGACCTCGCCGTGGCGGGTACCCTTTGACGACGCCCTGCCCGACGCCCACATCTACTCTCCCCAGCAAATCCCCATCGCCCCCCCCCTCCGCGGTGAGTGCGCTTCGCCGATGCCCCGCCCGAAGCCCACAAAGCCACCCCCCCTGGACGAATACATGTCCAACACCATCACATCATCTGCAAGGCAGGCGCCCTCCCACACGCCCTGCCCGAAGAGAACGAGGATGACCACTCCGATCACGAGATGCACGACGCGGATCCCGAAGACGGGGACAAGCACGTTGCGATCGCTGAAGGAGGCGGAAGACAAGGAAAAACCAATATATGACGACGACGACGACGACGACACCGACGAAGACGATCACGACGACGACGACGACGACGACGACCGCGACGGCGACGGTCACGACGACGACGACCACCACGACGACGACGACCGCGCCGGCGACGGCGACGGCGGCGGCGGCGGCAGCAACGACGACGGCCAAGATGACCATGACAACGACGGTGGCAACGACGACGAGGGCGACGACGACGACCACGACCACGACGACCGACGTCGCCCTCCAATTCCGCCCGCACGCCCCAGCAGGCCCCCGGCGCGGAGCTTGCAGGGCCGCGTCCCGCGACCCTGGCCCTCGATGCCCTCGCCCCCTCGAGCCCACGATCCTCGCGTCTCGACGACCAAGGCGGCGGCGGCCACGGCGACGCCCACGAAGTCGGCGACGGTGACGGTGATGGTGACAGCGTCGGTGACGACAGTGACCCTCCCTCCCCCCTGATCTGGGACGGGGTGGGCCAGCATAGCCGGTGTCGCGCTGCATCAGGGCCATTCTGAGGCGGTAGTCGTCGTCCATGGAGTCCGTGACCTGGCGGGGCGGCCCGGCGAGAGGGATCGGAGGCAGGGGCAGCTGTTCTGCCCAGGCGCTCGCCTGCCCACTCGACCCGCGTCTCCGCCCGCACCTCCGCCCACCTCTTCCGGGGCGACGTCGGCGAATGGAGGAGCGCCATGCTTGAGCGGATGGCGGCTGGGGCCCCCCCCCCCAGGGACCGCTCCGAACTCGAGCTTGACGACGACTGGGAGGTCGTTGCGGATTCTCCGCGGCCCCGCCTGGAAGACTGTCCGGAAGGGGGCTTGGGCGAGGGAGGAGGGGATTTTGATCCTGGAGGCTCGGGTCCGTGTAAAGGCCATGCAGCGCCTGTCCAGATCGTGCCACGGTTGTTGCGTGAGGCAGCTTTCCTCGTGCGATAACATGTCGGTCGTGCTTGCCTTTGCTAGATCTCGCAATCACGAACGTAAGCTCCTTGTTCACATTCGGCGTTTCAATGCGTATGCCCTCACCCTTGGGATAGCGCCTCATTTCCGCTGGATCTCTGGGCCTTTGTCTGCAAGGCCAGAATCCAGGCTGGATTCCTCTCCTGAACGCCAGGACCCCACTGTGCTATTATTGGCGATAGTGCCCATGAAAGGCCGCGCCCCCCTCTCCGACCCCCCACTGGTCACGTCACGTTTCGCGCCCTGGGAATCCGCCGATCCGGCGTGCGAGTGCAAGGGGGAGGGGGTGACCGGGGTGGCTCTGCTGGGGCAGGGGGAGGGCGGGGGTCCTGTGGCGTGGGTTCAGGTGCCGTGGGGTGGGGGGAGGGGTCCGGTCCCCCGTCCCGCCTGTGGACAGGGAGAATTAGGGGAAGATGGAAGGGTGTCCAGTGGCCGGGGTGGCTCTACCGGGGAGGTTCCCGTGGCGTGGGTTCCGGCGGCGTGAAAGAGGGGAGAGGGATCCGGTCCCCCGCCCCGCCTTTGGACAGGGGGAATTGGGGGGCGGGGGAGGCGGTCCTCTGGCGTGGGTATCGATGGCGCGTGGGAGGGGAAGGAGGGGTTCCGTGGCGTGTGATTTTGAAGAAGCCTCAGCAACAGCTTCGAGGCTGAGCTTCAGCCTCTGGGGGGATTGCCGGGGTGGCTCTGCCGGGGAAGGAGGGGAGGGGGGGGGGCGCGCGTGCGCGGGGTAATGTTTGTCCGCGCACGCGAGAAGGGAATCGAGGAAAAAGGGAGCGAGAAGTGAAACGGGACAAGAGCGTAAAACGGGTAACAAATGGGGGGTGACGAAGTGTCCGTTGTGCGGTGTGTGCGTGTGTTTGTGCGGCGTGGATGGTGTGTATGTGTGCGTGTGTGTTGCCGGCGTGTGCGTGTGTATGTGCCTGCGAAGGTGGCGCGCCTGTGTGCGGTGCGTGTCTGTGAATGGTGTGTGCCGTGTGTGTGCGTGTCTGTGTGTGTGTCTGTGTGTGTCTGTGTGTGTCTGTGTGTGTCTGTGTGTGTGTGTCTGTGTGTGTGTCTGTGTGTGTGTCTGTGTGTATGTGTGTGTGTCTGTGTGTGTCTGGGTGTGTGCGTGTGTGCGTGTGTGCGTGTGTGCGTGTGTGCGTGCGTGCGTTTCTGTGCGTTTTTGTTCGTTTCTGTGCGCTTCTGTGTGTCTGTGTGTCTGTGTGTCCGTGTGTCTGTGTGTCTGTGTGTGGTTGTGTGTAATTGTGTGTGCGTACGTGCGTGCGTGCGTGCGTGGGTGCGTGGGTGTGGGTGTGTGCGTGCGTGGGTGTGTGGGTGTGTGGGTGTGGGTGCGTGTGTGCGTGTGCGTGTGCGTGTGCATGTGTGTGCGTGCGCGCGTGCGTGTGCGCGTGTGTGCGCGTGCGCGTGTGAGTGTGCGTCTGCGTGTGCGCGTGCGTGTTGGTGTGCGTGTGCGTGTGCGTGTGCGCGCGCGTGCGCGTGCGCGTGCGCGTGCGCGTGCGCGTGCGCGTGCGTGCGCGTGTGCGTGAGCGTGCGCGCGTGCGTGTGCGTGTGCGTCGCTTGCGTGTGCGCGCGCGCGTGCGCGTGCGTGTGCGTGCGTGTCCGTGTGTGCGTGTCGTGTGCGTGTGCGTGTGCGTGTGCGTGTGCCTGTGCGTGTGCGTGTGCGTGTGCGTGTGCCTGTGCGTGTGCGCGTGCGCGTGCGCGTGCGCGTGCGCGTGCGCGTGCGCGTGCGCGTGCGCGTGCGCGTGCGCGTGCGGGTGCGCGTGCGCGTGTGTGCGTGTGTTGTGTGTTGTGTGTGTGTTGTGTGTGTGTGTTATGTGTGCGTGTGCGCGTGCGTGTGCGTGTGCGTGTGTGCGTGTGTGTGCGCGTGTGCGCGTTATGTCTGCGAACGTGTGCGCGCGTGTCTGTCGGCGAAGTGTCGCCGCCCAGTCTGGGGGGCACCCCAATCGACCCGGATCGGCCCCCCCACCCCCCTCCGCCCAGGCGGGCGCGAGCAGGGGGGCAGGGGGAGGGGGGAAGGTTCCTTAGAAGGAAGCAGTTTCTCAAAGGCGCCGGCCTTACATTTTTGGATAAGGCCCGCGCCTTCTAAGGAGCAGTCTCCCCCTACAAACCCTTCCCTCCTCCCCGTCCACCCCCCTGTGTGCGTGGCCGACACCCCCTCGGCCACGCCCGTTACAATCATCGCACTACTAGAGGTTCAGCACATCAAGGAACGAAGTGGTTTTTTTCTGGCCGCGGCAGGCCTAGGCCACAAACGCGTTCCACTGCATCGTTCTGACGACGGGCCGAGAAACCGAGACCGTGCTCAACCCAAAGCGGCGTTATGTCAGCGTCTTAGGTGCACCGCCAGAGGATGAATATTACCCCAGCGAAGTACTCTCTAATAACAGCTAAATCGTGGAGGCGAATGAACGCGTGAAACGTCGGATTGCGAGAACGACCCCATCATATTGTCGATACGATTGCGGTGCTGACCTTGCTGACGAGGGTGACGTTCGTGATGTCGACATGGTGGCGTGGACGCGTTGGGAACAGCATTCGGGACTGAGCGGCCCCACTCCTGGCAGCTGGAATGATGACAATTTGACTGCCTTGCCACACTTTTCGCACCAAGGACAGCTGGAATGGTGAGTCCTATTTCCCTGCCACAATTTCTAACCCTGCGACGGCTGAAATCGAACCAAACACAATAGCGAATCTCATTTCTGGATCTGCGAGGGCTGAAATCGAGCCAAAACACTCGGCCCCCGTGTGTGGAGATCCGGGCGAAAAATATGTAACTGAAATTGAGCCAGAACACAATACTGAGTGCCGTTGCCCTGGGTCTTTGGGGTTTCGATGGTTTTGCGGTGGAGAGCGTGACGATCCCACACCGAAACTCACTGGACGTCCTGGGGTCTCAAGGTTGGGCGTCGTCTTGTGGAAGGTCTCATGTGGTCGAGTTCCTGCTGTAGAACCGTCTACCGAGACGCGATCAGGGAAAAGAAGCGGCCTCCAGGAGCGAGGTCGCCTTCGCACGTCAGGAGGAGGAGGAGGAGGAGGAGGAGGAGGAGGAGGAGGAGGAGGAGGAGAGGGGGGGAGGGGGAGGAGGAGGGAGGAGGAGGAGGAGGAGGAGGGGGGAGGGGAGGGGGGGGAGGGGGAGGGGAGGGAGAGGGAGAGGGGAGGGGGCCCGCGCTCTGCGGCCGAGGCCGGGGAGCGCGAGGCGCGGCAATCTTCGCGGCGGGTGGGCGGCGACTCCGACGAGAGCCTGGCGGCAGCGCAGGAGCACGGAGGAACGAGGCAAAAGGAAGGGTAAGCAGGGCGGGCAGGAGGAAAAGAGACGAGAACGAGGACGGCATCGTCGTCCTTTTTCTCTTCCCCTTTTCTCCTGCCCACCGCCTCAGGGGGGGAAGGGAAGAGAAGAAGGAACAACAGGAAACTTAATGATAGCAAGAAGAAACAACACATGGGAGGAGGAGGCGGAAAAAAAGGAGGGAGGGTAGGGGCAGCAGCAGGATGGCATGAACAGATAATGAGATGGCGACGCATGAAGGAACGCAGTGGTGATGGAAACAGGACAGGGGGAGGTGGAGGAGGTCAAGACAGGGGGAAGTGGAGCAGGTCAAGAGATGATGGGGGAGGACAAAGGGGGAGGAGGAGGAGGAGGAGGAGGAGGAGGATGAGGAGGAAAGAGGCTAACAATGAAGACGGAAGGGGTGAGGAGGCTGTACGCAAGGGGAAGAAAAAGGAGGAGCAGGAAAGGGAGGAGGATGGATGGATGGGCCATCATCAAAGCGGCCATAGCGGCCGTCTGCTAGCAGACGGCCGCCAGGGCCCCAGGTGTCGCGTCAAGAATCGCCGCCGCCCGCTCGCGACAGGGGCAGGCACCCAGGCGACGAGGGGGCCCCGAAGCAGCCCCGACAGGCATCGGTCCAAGCCTGGATTACCCGAAGGGCAATGCAGGCGGACCGAAGCCACCCCCGCGGGGACGGACGGGCAAAACCAGCGGCCACCCGATACCGCCCCCAGGGACATTCCGAGCCGCGCCCAGCACAGAGGACCAGGCAGCCCGACGCGCAACCCCGCTCAGCCTGCGAGGTAAACGAATGCGAGCTCCTCGGCCTCCGCACGCGCGCGGCCTCTGTCCAAACAGACCTCCACGAACGCGGAAGGCTTCGCCTCCACCGTGTAGCCGTCCGCGTCCATGACCTTCATGAAAACCCGCGCCGCCTCCAGCATGTCCTCATCGACCACAATCTCGTCGGCCACCACGCCGTAGAGGCCCGAGCCCCAAGCAGCGCCCCGCCTCGAGAAGCACCTCGTCGAACGTGTCGAGGACGCCGCACGCGCGGCAGTGTGGCGCGGGACTGGCGCGTACTGCCGCCCCCGCCGCTGCTGCCACTGCCGTGCGGAGCAGCCACTCCTGCAGCCCCGTCCGCATGCCCGCGGCGAGGATCCCGCGCAAGACCGCCGCCACAGCCGCCTGAGCATGTGGTGAGGAGGCCCTGGATGTGGCCAGGGTTCGCTGGGGACGCTCGGGTGCGAATCACACCCGAGCGTCCCCACCGACTCCGCGTGGTAGCGAAATCACCGATTCAGTTTGTTGAAGTTACATCAGAACCCAACGAGTTTCCAACCATGTTAAGTTGACACCGCACAAAAAAATGTATCATCATAAGGCACACGGTAAAACAAAAACAGTTCATCATCAACAATCCCCGACGTGCTCCCATGTCATATCAACATAGTTTGCATGAAAAAAACTGTCATCTTCCCACCCACCGACGTGTTCTCATGTCAGATCAACAATGGGTGCACGAGAAAAAACGGTGCAACATCCAAAAGCCCGACGTGTTTCCTTGTCATATCATCATGTCATATCATCACATCATCATATCATCATCATCATCATCATCATGGCATGTTTCCTTGTTGTTTCGCTGTTGAGCGAGAGGGGGGGAATCGCCGCGGCTGGGTTCTGCTCCAAACATTTGTGGGTGTCGTGTTTCCGGAGCGGGCAGTAATTGTGAGAATGCGTTCGGGTTTGGCCCAATTGTTTCGGGCCACGGCCATCTCGCGGGCCCACGCGGGCGCGCGATGGCGGCGCCCGCGGCTGCCTCGCTAGCTCGCGCGCTGCTTGAGCACGGCGAGTTGCGAGCCGCCGAGGCCGCTGGCGCCCCACCGACCGTGGCCATCCCGACGGCCGCGGCGGTGAGGGCCATCGCCGGCACAGTGGCCCGGGAGTTGCAGGCGCCACGTCGGCCTTCCCTTTTAGCTTCCGAGAGTAGGGAGATAAGGAGGAGGAGGACGAGGAAGGATAGGATGAGGAGGAGTCGGATGATGAGGAGGATGATCGGAAACGGAGGAGGATGAGGGAGGATGATGAGGGAGGAGGATATCATCATGACCATGAGGGTCATGATGCTGGTAATGAGAGGGTGGTGAGGGGGGCATTGTGTATGTAGTGTGTATGGTGTACGGGTGAGTATGCGGAGGTCGGGGTGGGGATCGGCTTATGAGGGGGGGGTGAGGGCGGGGGTGGAGGAGGCAGGGAGCGAGGATACTCGAAGCGAAACGCCTCGCCCGAAGGCGCATCGCGGAGCCGCCTGGGCTCCCGACGGCCAGCCGCCGTACGGCGTCGTCGCCGTGGCCCGCTTGCTGCGGGATCGCTACAAGATCGACGTCGGCGACGCGGTGGTGCTCGCGACGGTCGAGTCGGCGGTGCGGCAGAAGCTCACCGAGCGCGCCGCCTACCGACCACAGGACGGCGCGTTTCTTGGTCGGCGTCGTCGTCGTCGTCGCGGCGTCGAGTCGTCGAGTCGCCGACGATCTCGTCGTCGTTGCCGTCGTCATCGTGGCCGTCGTCGTCGTTGACGTCTCGGTCGTCGACGTCGCCGTTGTCGTTGTCGTCGGCGCTGTGTGTCGGCGTCGTCCTTCCGTGCGTCCTCCTCTCGCCTTTCCGCCCGCTCTGGCGCCTCCAGCTTTGGGCGGTGCGCGTTCGGCGACGCGACGGCGACGACGAGTCGATGACTCGTCGTCGCGACGACGACGACAACGTCGACGACGACGATGCGTGCGACGACGACAACGGCTCGACGCCGACGTCGAGGCGACGACGACGTCGACAGCGACGCCGACGACGACGATTGCGACGGTGACGACGCTTCGACGACGACGGCGACCGACGTCGGCAGCGTCGACGACGACGCCGCTGACGATGGCGACGGCGACGACGTTTGCGACGACGTCGACGTCGACGACGACGATCCGCCGTGCTAAAATTCCCCCAGCGTCGGCCGCCGCGCCCGCCGGCGGAGCTGGCGGCGGCGCAGCAGGCGCAGCCGGCCGCGGCGGCCCCCGAGGCCGCGTTGGTGGCGGTGCCGGGCTCCGCCGCCAACAGCGCGGGGCCGGCGGCGCCTGCGGTGCGGGTGAGGCGGATCTTCCTGTTCGCCAGGAGCCTTCCTCTCCTCCACCTCTTCCTCCTCCTCCCCTCCTCTTCTTCCTCGCCCTCCCTCACTCCTCGCTCCTTCCTATTCCTCCCCCCCTCTGTTTCTTCTCCTCCGCCTCCTCTTGCCTTCCCCTCCCCCTGCCCCTCCCCCTACATCCTCCTCCCCTTACCTTACCTCCTCCACCCCCGTCCGCCTCCTCCCGCTCCCCCACCTCCGCCCCCCTCCCCCCTCTCGTCCTCCTCCTCCTCGTCTTCTTCTGCCCCCATCCCCACCATCCCTTCTCATCCCCGTTCCTGAGGACGCGGCGCGCTGGTCGCACCACCGGCCCGCTGCCCTTGGCGCTGCCCCGCGGTGAGCGGCGGCGGATCTCGCGGGCCTTCGGCGCGAAGGACAGGGAGATCGCGAAGCTCAAGGGTGAGATCGCGCAGTGGAAGGCGAAGTACGATTGCCTGAAAGCGAGCCGCAAGAAGGAGCCGTGCTCCTCCTTGCGATTCGTTTTCATGTTTTCGTATTTGTCTTTCAGGAGCCCAAGCGGAGATGCTTGACGATTCGTGGCATGTTCCAGGTCGGGTGGAAACAGGCGCTCGGCTACGGCGGCACGATGAGCACGGCCGCCATCCTCGAGCTTCCGATCTCGCGGTGGAGCGTGACGAGGTCCGAGCAGCTGCTCACGGCTGGCATCGTGTCCGCCCACCGCAGCTGGCACGCTCGGAAGTACGGCGATGTGGCTGAGTGCGCGACGGTGCTCCTCGAGACCAAGGCCGACGTCTCCGAGATGATTGGCTGGGAGCTGTACGTCTTGCGGGGCGACGCCACCAACGCGTCCACCATCCGGAGCCACAAGGTTCAAAGGCTATCGCCGTGGCCGCAGGTCCAACACTATGAGTTGAGGCGAGGATGAGGATGCGGATGAGAAGACGGATGGGGTGGGGAGGAGCATGCGGGTAACGAGGTGGGCGAGTGGGCGACGACGATGAGGCTAGGATAGAGATAGAGCGAGAGAGAGAGAGAGAGAGAGAGAGCGAGATAGAGAGAGAGGGAGGGAGAGAGACAGAGAGATATATAGAGAGAGATAGGGTGAGAGGGATAGAGAGAGAGAGAGAGAGAGAGAGAGAGAGAGACAGAGCGATAGAGACGATACATATGACGGGGGGTGGGTGGGATGAGGCGGAGGATGGGTGGGTGAGATACGGAGAGGAGGCTGGGGAGCCGGAGGGGACGGGGAGGGGTGAGGGGGAGGGGAGGATGAGGAGGAGGCTGCAGATGAGGACAGGTCGGATTCGAGCTTGGCCCGCCCGCCCCGAGCCACCGTCGGCTCGGCGGGTATTCAGTAGCGACTACTACAGCGAGTTTACCGCTCCGGCCACTGCAGAGGACCGCTGCTCGGTCTCTCTTCCCCTCTGCCCCCCCCTATCTGACCTCCCGTTGTCATCCCTCCTACCCTGTTCTATTCCCACCCCCTTCTCACTCCAGGCCCCTCTTCCCTCCTCATCTTCCTTCCACGCTCCCCTCATCCCCCCCGCCTCCTATTCCTCCGCCTCCTCCCTCCTCCCACCTTCTCCTCCCTCCCCCATCTCCTCCTCTCCTCCACGCTCGTCGCCGCCGCCTCGTTGCTTCGCCGCCGCGCCCGCAGGACTTGGACCAGTTCCCGGAGCTCTCGGAGGCTCGCATGGGCTGGCCCGACTTGGCGATCGTTCCCGAGCACGCCACTGGAGTGGAAGCAGTTGAACTCTTGGCTCGCGCCGCGGCGGGCGTGGGCATGGAGTCGTGGCAAGTGAAATTCGGCCAGTACCAGAACCCCACGAAGGGCAGCGTCGCCGAGATGATCACGGAGCTGCGCAAGAGAGGTATGACATACCCATTGGTGTACATCTTCGGGACGGACCAAGGTGGCGATCAGCAGAAGGCTTGCCGGCTCATCGAGAAGGCTGTTGCGTCCGACTGCAACATCCTGGTGTTCTGGAACTGGTGCCTGGCGCACCAGTGCCACTTGGTGGTGAAGCGCCAGTTGGCGCGACTTGACGCTGAGTACTTTAGCACCCTGGCGAAGTTGACAAATTGCTGGAGGAGCGCTGGAAATCCCGCCAGACTCCGCCGCGCGTGGACACAGTGGGTGAGCGCTGCGCGCGCAGTGGAGGTCACAGCTCGTCTTCCACAGCGGCCGCTCACAGGCAGGTGGGGCAGCGTCTTCGAGAACGAGCGCCACTGGCTGAGCTGCGGCCAGGCCGACCTCAAGCTGATCTACACAGAGGCCCTGGTCAAGCACCACCGCAGGGTCGAGGCGGCGATGGCGAAGGCGTCCGGGTCTGGTAAGGGTAAGGGTGGCGGCCGCCGTGGAGGCTGCAAAGGCGGAGGCAGATCCGCCGAGGGCAAGGGCGGCCGGGGCGCGCCCGCGCCTGTGAACCCAGAGGACCCAGACAACGAGGAGACGTACCGGGAGAAGCTCGGCCGTTGGCTCAAGGACGTCATGGAGGCCATCGACGACCCGATCTTCTGGCTGAAACTCCACATCGCCCACTACGCCAAGCAGCCGATCATGCGCCTGTGCCACTGGCTCCAGACGCAAGCCAAATTGCGGCGTGAGCGGCTGGTGGCGCGCTTGCCGCCGCCGGACAGATCGCCGATGCAGGTGCTGGTGACTGAGAAGGCGGGCGAGATCGCGGAGCTGTACGACAAGCTCTTGGACAGCGTGGCCATGCGCGACGCCGTCAATGGCTACAGCACCAGCGACACCCGCGCGAGATGGAGATCTGAGGCCGTGCTGTTGATCATCGAGGGGGGCGCGGACATCCAGATGCGAGTCGGATCCAAGGTCATTCGGGCTCGACCCCCCCCGTCTGCCCCTCGCACGAGAATGAGGACGAGGGGAATGGGGGGAGACTGAGGAGGCGACCACGTCTTGACGTCGATGGCCCTTGACGACGACGACGGTCATGACTCGGGGGAGCGTAAGACCCGGGTATGCCAGGACTCGGGTTCGCCATCGTTTTTTGACGACCGCGCCTCGGATTTTGACGAGGAGGAGTTTCGTGGGATGTCTGCAGCGGGAGGCCTCGTCAAAATGCAGGCTCGGCCTCGTCAATTTTTTGACGACCTCGTCGGGGATTTCCGAGTCCACTGTACCCAGGTCTTACGTCCCCCTGAATGACGGTCATGACCACGACGACGACCACCACGACGACGCTGCCCCCGGAGGTCGAGTCGCTGCCGCTGTCCCTCGCCTGGCTCTGCGACGCACCGCCTGAGGCCAGGAGCGAGAAGCGCGCCACGGTCGCGGAATCGCTTCTTCGTCTTATGGATGACCCTGGCGCCGATCACAGCTCGCTCCCGGTGAAGTTCGCCAAGATCTTCAGACCCGCGCTGACGGAGGTCTACGTGAGCCAGGGGCGCATCCCGCTCGGCCTACATTCATTCGTGTGGCGCATCTTCCAGCGACTGCCGCTGGACACCCAGGAGATCGAAGGGCTGAACAGCATGATCCGCCACTGCATGGTGGTTGCGCCGCGGATCCAGCTGGACTTGCTCAACAGCAGGGTGGTGAACAAGAAGACGATTGCGCTCTGCAAGGGCGGGCTTTCGGAGTTCGTGCAGGCGCTCGTGGACAACTACGACGACGCGAGGCTTGTCCTCCAGGACTCCGCGTCTCGTCTGTCCCCTCCCTCCTTCCCGCTCGTTCTCTCCTTCGCCCCTATCTCCCATCTCCTCCGTCTCCTCGCCATCCTCCTCTGCCTCGTCCGAATCCCTAGTCGCTGCGACGGCGACACCGACAACGACGACTCGACGACAGCGATACCGACCCCTAGTCGCTGCGACGGCGACACCGACAACGACGACTCGACGACAGCGATACCGACGACGTCGACGACTCGACGACGACGACGACGCCAGGATGCCGCGCGCATCGCTGCGTTCCGCTCCTACCTGAACGACGACGCGGACATCGTGCCCGCTGACGCTGCTGACGCCGCCGCGGAGGCGGCCGAGGCGCCTGCCGCGCCGGTGCCGCTGCCAGCCCCGCCGGCGGCCGTCGGGGAGCCTGCGGCAGAGGCGGAGGGCGCGCTCGTGCCCCTGCCGCGTCCAGAAGGACCATGGACTGTCGGGCTGTCGGGTGTCGCAGCGGGGGCGGGTTCGAATTTGTCTGATCCCCCCTCTGCCTCGCCCTCCTCCTCGCCCTGCCCTCTCCTCTTCCGTCTCCTTCCACCGTGCAGTTTAGCTGACGCTGCCCGCCCCCCACCCCCCCCTCACGGCCCCTGCTGGACTCGGCCTTCTTGTGGCCTCTCGTGGGCCTTCTTGTCCCGGGGTACTCTTGCCATGGGCCCCCTTGGGGCCCCTCTCGGGATCCCGCACTGGTTCCGACCCAGAAGGGCCCCGATATGGCAGATCGGATGGCCTCGTGAAGGGGGGGGGGAGGTGGGGGCAACGGGGGTGGAGGTGGAGGTTGCGGAGGCGGCGCAGGGCGAGGTGGAGTGGCAGAGGAGGATGCGTATGAGGGGGAATGATGACAAGGATGAGGAGGTGGATGAGTTGTGATGAGGCGGTTGATCGGGTGTTGCGGATGATGAGGCGGGCGAGGAGGTGGCGGGGGAGGATGGGGATGCTGAGGGGGGGATGAGGTGTAGGGTGACTGGGGCGCCCACCTCAACAGAAGCAGCTGCTGACCCGACGCTGGCTGCGCTGAGGCGCATTTTCGCGCGCTTCAAGCAGCATTTCGGGGGCTCGGTCAGCACCCCGTCCACGACCACCGCCTTTGTCGTGACCGTCACCTCGCCCGCAGGCATTCGCACCCCAGGGGTCTCGTTCGTCATTCGCCCATTCGCTCCACTGCTCTGGTCGCCCAGGGGCCCTCGACTGCCGGACCTACTACACCACCTCTTCGCTCGCGGCACGCCCTTCCCACCGCCCCTCTCCGCGCGGTGCCCGCCCAGGCACGCGTACGCGGTGCGGCTGGCTTGCCGCCCTGAAGTTCGGCAGAGGCAGCAACCGCGTGTGGACGGCGGACGGTGTCCGGCACGACGGCGGCGAGATCTTCGCTCTTCGTCGCCCCCTGAGCTTCGTGCTGCTGCCCAAGCGCATGCACGCGTTGGCCGCCCAGTGGGTCGCAGGCTGCACTGTCGTCATCGAGCTCGTCCAGCTGGACTGGCAACACGACTGTCTCGATAAGGCGAGCATCCAGCTGACACACTCGACGACGCCCGAGTTCGATTTCACCGTCGCTCATCGGCGACGTGGACGTCGACGCTGGCCAGGAGCCGGCGCCGACGACGACGACGACGTTCCTGATGACCCTGTTCCTGATGACCCCGACCTCGTGGAGGCGCTGTACGACGCCTTCAAGCTCGACGACGTCGGCGACGACGTGGACGACACCGAGGCGGGCGACGATGCCGACACTGCTGCGGCGGAGCGCATCGAGGAGGCGCGCGCCTTGTCGATCGCCAAGGGCATCGCTGAGGCTGGAGGCGCGGGCGGGTTGGACTGATAACCACCCCCGCACGCGATTAGCCGCCGACCGACCGATACGAGCCGGGTGGGGGGATGCTGAGCTGTCCCCCTCTATGACCCCCCCCCCAGGCCCCGAGCTGGACAGCGCGGCTGCCGCAGCAGCGGCGACCGGGGCCGAGCCCAACGGCGGCCTCGCGTTGGACGAGCCTGCGCACATCATGGAGGCGATGGCCCACATTGCGGCGGACCTGCCCATTCCCGTCGCCTTGGTGGCCGTCGACCCAGCTCCTCCGCCACGGCGCAGCCGGGCTGACATGCTGGCCAAGTGGGCGGATGAGGTGAATAAGTCGTTGCAGGCCGCATCACAGCATCTCGGCAGCAGGCTTGCGGCCAAGAAGGTGTCCCTGGTGCTCGCGACAGCGCCTGGCGAACAGGATGCCGAGGAGGCCGACGACGATGCGCCCGCTGTCGTTCGCCCCAGGTGGCTTCACTGCGACGTCGTGGAGACGAGAACTGGCCGCTTGCTGCGCCTGGACGAGCGGAATCGGATCGTGTACTGCACGCCAGACAAGCGAATGCCCTTGGATGCAGATGTCCGCATCATCATCGGCGACGCAGGCGCGCAGATGGTGAAAGCCACGGCCGAGCATCGCAGCGCCATGCCGCCAACAGCTCTGCGCGTGCGTGCGTTGGTCGACGTGGCGCTGGACCCGCTGGCGTTGGCCATGGAGCACTGTTTCGCGTGCGGTGACGTCGCGGTGGGCGGCGCGGCGGCCGCGGCCGCCGCAGCGGCTGCCGGGAGCGCGCCGCCAGAGCGCAGTCGCGTGTGCCCGGTGTGCCTCACCTACTGGCACGAGGCGCGGGTTCAGCTGCTGCTGTTGCTCCTCCTCCTCCCCCGCCTCCCGTCACCGCCATCCCCCTCCTCCTTCTCCTCATCCCACTCCCCCTCCTCGCCCTCATCCTCCTGCCCACCCCCTCCTCCTCCCACACCCACCTCTTCCCCCTCCCTCCTGCCCTCTTTCTTTCTCACCCGCCTCGGCGGGGGAGCGGATGTGAGGATGTGGAAGGGGGATGGAGGAGGAGGGAGGAGGGCTAATGGTGAGGCTGATAGTGGACGGACGCAGAGGGAGGGAGGTCTCCCCCCCATCCAACGTCCCACAGGCGTGCCAGCGCGACGCCTTCGGCATCGGCGATGGCGCGGCCGCTGCGGCGGCAGGACAGCGCGCGCCTTGCGTGTGGGGGGCTCTCGGCGTCCCTCTCCCGCTCACGCCTCGTGCCCCTCCCCTCTCTCCCACTCGCTCTCTCCTCCGTTCTCTTTCAATCCTCCTCGCCCGCCTCGTCCTCCCTCCGCCCGCGCCCTCTCCCCCGAGGGGGTCGTGGTCGATCCTCCTCCTCCTTCTCCACCCTCCCACCGTTTCCCCCATTCCCCTCGCCTCCCCCCCATCCCCGCTCCGCCTTATCGTTTCCTCCGCGCTCCCATCCTCATCCGCGCGGTGATCGGTCCGAGGAGAGCTGGCGGCCGCTGTCGCTGGGGCCGCGGGCTCCGACACACCCGGCCAGTTCCCCGACATGGTCAAGAGCTTCGAGGAGGCACCTCTCTCGCTCCCTCTCTGTCGTCCATTTGTTGTTTTGCTGCGGCTGCCTGGGGCTTTCCTCGTCGCCGCGGATGGACGCAGCTCGACGCGTGGATCCATCTGGACTCCCGGGGAACCGCGTCTCGCTTTCCCTCTCCCCCGCCTACCCCTCGGCCTCCCTCCCTCTTCCGCTCCCCCCCCTCCCCACCCGCCCTCTCCCCTCCCGCCTCCCCTCTCCTTCCCCTTCCCCTCTCCCTTCCTCAGTCCCTCTCCCTCCCTCCGTCCGCGGCTCTCTGGGGCGTGGCCGGGTCGTCGCACGTACGCCCCGCTCAGGCATGGACTGAATGTGCGGGGCCGGCGTGGCGCGCCTCGGTCTGCGCGTGGTGCGCTCAGTTGATGGGCCCATGAGGCCCTGATGTGCGCTGCGCCCGTCGCCTTTGCGACATGTATGTAGCACGGGTGCTGTCTCGGGGTGCACGACACAGGGTGGTGGCCAAGGTGCAAGGAGTATGATAATGCCAATCCGCATCGGTGGCGGAGGGTGGGCACGATCCAGGGAGATTAGGGCCACTAGGACTGCGTGGTCACGTGTCTGGCCAGCCCTCGAGACGGCATCCATACGCAGGGCCCGGCTTGCTGTGTTTGCCCGCGTGACCTTCGAATCAGCGTTTGAAGGTCGCCTGCTGCAGCACAGCATTGCGTTGCATGGCGGCGATCCAGGGGCATCAGTCCGCTGGGTCACTAGTGTATCTGTCGGCTGGTGGGCCAACCGACATCAGTTGGGCTGCCGCTCAAT